ACTGGTTGATTACAGCAGATTCCAGCTGGAAAGCTCATACGAAAAAGTCCATTGTGTATAATCGGTGAAAGAATACATTGGAATGTAGCAGTGGTGTATGTTGACTATATTTACTTAGATACTGGTCAAGCAGATTTTGGAGAGTTGAGTTTACCATAATCGAGCTACAAGTCTTGTTTGAGTCTTGTTACTCCTGAGTCAAAGGAGACCTTTTCAAGTTGAGTAGTATAAGGTACGCCACATGGTCACATGGCTGTGATCAGCAGGCTTTTGCTTCTGCTGTACTTGGGCTCCAGTGCTCAAGGACTTGCCAATCATCGTGAACTCCCTATAAAGGGCATCCACGTATTTATTGTTACGCCAAGCATTTGTGGAATCGGTCTGAAACCAGATCCACACAGAAACCACCCAGTTCTTTCAGCAATGAGCTTTGGCAGAGTTCACAATGAACCAGCTGACAATGTAACTCAGGAGGGCACATTCCGGGCCGGGCACATGGGTCTCTCGCTGCATTTGTCACTGTGGCAGGTGGTACCAGGTATGCCTCTCTGTTTCTTAGGCACCAAAGAAGGCGAAGAAGAAGGAGGGCGCTAGCTCCAACGTCTTCAGCATGTTTGAGCAGTCTCAGATCCAGGAGTTCAAGGAGGTGAGGCCAAGGACGAGTTATAGGGTATTATGTACAGCACTGAGAACAGGTCCTGACCCGTCTCTCCCGTTCAGGCGTTCACTATCATGGACCAGAACAGAGATGGCTTTATTGACAAGAATGATCTGAGGGACACATTTGCAGCCCTCGGTAAGCCAACATTTATCTCCCATATCTTCACATTCTGCATCTTGCGATTGATGAAAAACACAGACAAGTGTATATGCTGAGATGAAGCTTTGGCGTCAGAGGACAGGGCCAGCCAGCATCCAGCACCCTTCTCTCCAGAGGATTCAAACTCACAACCTTCTGGACACAACCCACTGAGCAACACACCACCCATGTACAGGGTCACTGTGAAGCTAACCCAGGAAAACATAGGACAGTCATACATATGGGCAATTTTGAGACACCAGTTCCACTACTAGTGTGTTTAAAATCTGGGAGGCGCCAGAGGCCCAGAAGAAATCCCCACAAACGTGAGGAGCAACTAGAGGAAGCGGGACAGAGCCGCTGTAATGTCCATAAGCCAACCCATCCCTGCTCAAGCTCATAGCAACAGGGTCGTCTCTTCTGAGGATTAAAACATTCCATTACTGGTTGATTGCTTCGCGTCCATCTTTCTCCCCTCATCGCATGTCACATGTTTCGCCAGAGGAATGCATGTGCCCCACTGAGCCAGTCTTCAGGTTTCCTCGCTCGTTCTCATCTCGCTGTCCTGTCGGTCCAGTCTGCTTGGTAGGCCGGCAGCCCTGCTGTTTCCCAGGGACGTCACTTCTACTCTCTCTCTCCGCAGGGCGTCTCAACGTGGGCAACGACGAGCTGGATGAGATGCTGAAGGAAGCCCCCGGGCCCATCAACTTCACCGTTTTCCTGACCATGTTTGGCGAGAAGCTGAAAGGTTGGGCGCCATGCATCATGCCACAGGGCCAAGCTGATAGAATCCGGCCAGATCTCAGTGTGTCCGCGTTGGCACTGCCAAGAACACCTTTCACAGGGCGGTGGCTTCCAACAGAAGAGCCTTCAGATCTCAGGGCCAATTAACCCTGAAGTGAACTTCTGCTTGGAGACTTCGTTTAAACTTGGCTGTGGCTTAACCTGCCCAAGATAAGCTGGTCAACAGTATTTATTGAGAACAACCAGATAACAGCTCTTCATAAAGATACTACTGAGAAACACAATCAACAGACACACCACAGACACACAACAGAGTGTATGTATATATATATATATATATATATATATATATATATATATATATATATATATATATATACACACACACACACATTCAGTAACCACTTTATTAGATATACCAACTTGTGAATACAAACATACAAACTGACTACTCCCTTCTTCAAACGGTGAATCATGTGGCTGTAACCAGAGATGGAGATTTCAGGTCCGGAGAGTAGAAATTCAAACCAAGATTTTGTTTCATCCAACCAGTTGACTATAAAGAGTCACAGTCACAGAGTCCTCAGCTGGTTGGTTGAAATAAAATCTTGGTCTGGATTTGCACTCCCTGGACCTGAAATCTCCACCTCTGACTGTTTCTGAATATATCCAGCGTGCAGACGGAATCTAGGATCCATTACTGTGCAGCTAAGTGTTAGAATGGCCTAGATGTGTGATCTGTGGTCATGTTGGTGTTAGACATGGTAGTGTCACCTTCTCAGAAACAGCCATCCTGGGCAGTTTACAGAGAATGGTGCGATAAACAGATCATCCAGTCAACGACAGCTCTGTTTCTGAAAACACCTCATCAATAAGAGAGGTCGGAGGAGAACAGCTATAATGACCGGAAGACTTCTAGTCTATGCCAGGACAGCTCAGGACGACAGCGGCATGCAGAAAGACGTCTCTTAGTACCATGTTTCGCCGTACCAAATATCCATAAATGCAAGACAACCACAACAGTAAAATGATGCAAGTGATATATAATCAATATAATACAGCTAAGGTATGTCATGTAAAGAATATGCGGTTACGCTGTACATTAACTGCACTTCATAATGCATTCATAGAACATTCAGTGCACCTTCATAATGCATTCATAGAACACTGAATTTTCTATGAATGCATTATGAAGGTGCAGTTAATGTAAAGCATTACCGCATATGTAAAATGGTAATGATCACATGTCCAGTTTCTCATCACCATGGATTGGCCCACAAAAGTAAATTGTCAAATTAGGACTTTTATATTTAATGTTGAGGTGTCATGCTGAGCTTTTTAATGTATTACATAAACTAGACCACAATTCTACAAATTCTACAAATGCACTGGTGGTCATAGGAAAATATGAATTATACACATATACCCACAGAAACTGCTTCTTAATTGTGGATTGTGGACTTTGGCATTTGATGCTTGTATTCTGTTTGTATTCTCTTCTTATTTCAGATTTGGTTCAGTGGCCTTTTCATCGGTGTTGAGTGGAAATTTATGATTGTCTCTCTGTGTTTAGGTACAGACCCCGAGGAAACCATTCTGAACGCCTTCAAGATCTTTGACCCAGAAGGAAAAGGAATTCTCAGAGGAGATGAGTGAGTAATAGGCCTTGATACACAATGATCAAAATGGCCATTCCGAAATGATTCTATTCTTCAGTTAAATCTGCTTTTTTTGAGAATTTTGTTTCATTGGATACATGCACAGACTGCAGTTTTCTAAAATAGTATCAAGAGAACAAACGGATTTGTTGCTCTGTATTTTGTATATGTGTGGGATTACCATATTTTCCAGATTTCTTCTGATAAAGTGTCGAGTATGTCCTTAAATCTAGTTTTAAATAAATGTTTCTGAGAGGCCCTGTGATGAAAAAGGATGATCCGGATTCAGGAATCTGTTAACCTGAAGTATGACTTTTGCACGCAATTTGTAACGTTAAATGCCACATGCAACATTTTGTGTATTACTTGGATATTGTTGCCTTCCAGGATTAAATACCACCTCATGTCCCAAGCGGATAAGTTCTCTGAGGCGGAGGTACGGCACGTTCCTGTCATCTTGCCACAGGGGGATCTGTGGGGATTGTGGTTCCGTAAAAGTATCGGCTTTCCCATTTGACTGCCACATTGCTGTCGTTATCAGTTTATGATGTATGTGTGTAACAAGCTTCAGTCTTATCGATACGCGGTCACCGTGGATTAGGGAGGAGTGACAAATAAACTGGGAGCGTTCTGCCAAACCACAGGCACCCCAGTAAAGAAAGTCAGCTGGAAATTAGATACAGGATTTAAGTGCTGACCAAATAAACTAGCAGTAAGCTAATTCCAGGCTGATATTATGCTCATTTTGAGTCCCTCTCACATGCAGATAGACACACGCACCCGTTCGTGTGTTTTAGCCATCCAGAGAGCTTACTCTCACTTGAAGGCAGGGAAAGCTCGGATATTAAAATGAGCGAGAGGCTGTCCTGTCAGCATGCAGCGGCAGCCAGGGACGCGTCAAAGCTATTGCTCCATTTTCATGGGCTGTATGATTATATAACCCCACAGTGGTATAATTATCTTGAGCTAGCCCGGGCATTTCTCCCACCTGCTTGTCTTTATCAAGCTAGCATGTGATCATACAGCGATATACCTTTTGCGTTTGTCTGCCTGTCTAATTTCCCCCAAAAAAGAACTTGTAACCGTGGCAAAGTTAAAGAATGTTCAAATTAGCTACTAGCTTTAAATGGCTATATTTTTAAGTTCTTTTTTGGGGGAAATTAGACAGGCAGACAAACGCAGATTGAGAACCTTCTGTCCAGGAATTACGACTGAGCTCTCTTTGGCCTGTAGGTGAACCAGATGTTCACAAACTTCCCCCTGGATGTCGCTGGGAATCTGGACTACAAGAACCTGTGCTATGTCATCACCCACGGAGAGGATAAGGAACAAGAGTAAGGCGGGAGGGGCCGCTCCCGAGATGTAACTGTACATAACCTCCCCTTGATGCCCTGCCTCACATCTCCTCGTCAATAAAAATCTTGTAACAAATTTACATTGATATGGTTGTCAGGGAAACATTTCCTAACATCACCAAGAATATTTGGTGAATCTCATCTCTGATTGGACACGCTTAGAAGTCACAATGGTGTAAATGTTTGACAAGCTTACCAGCCTAACCGAAGGTACAAATCACCGACTGTAAAACCAGACAGATTACATGACATGTATTGAATGCACCTGAAAAATACTGGTTTGCTAAGAGGGGGTGGGTTTGCACCAGCAGAATGACACACAAGTATGTAAGTACTTCTTAGGAGCTATGATGCATGAAAGGTCCTAACCTTAAATGGCCTGTGACCACTAAGAACACACAGCAAACTCCATTCAGAAGCACATGCTTCAATATAACGTAGGCATTACGTCTTAAAGGGGTTTATTGATGTGATTACAGTCCATGTAATCACCATAATAACATTTACAGGCACCATGACACAACATAAACACAAAATTTTGATGTCATTGACAGCTCCAGTACACTGATGGATAATTTTCAGCTTTGTTGCAATTCATTCATATATGGATCCTAACATGATGTGCCAATAAGGTCGAAAGACGTTCCATTACATGCCCAAAAGTATTTTGAATACACCTCGTATTTACACATATTACACTGCAATCAATCAATCAATCAGAAACGAAACATGTCAATGCACACGTTGTACGAGATAATTAATTCCCTGCTTTCATTTCCTTCACTTCAACATTTAGAAAGCATCAGAAGAGTGATAATGACTCTGATATTCCAGAATATCAGATTTAGACTAACAAGTGTATTACATAAAACCCCTGCTCGTATACCTCAAGAGGCATTGATGGGGAACAGAAGGTTCACAAGGACACGGTGAATGTCAATGTATAAATGCGTACAGAAACGTGCAAGCTTTGACTGAGCTTTACAGAAGCCTCTCTCACTGTCTGATTAACTAAAACTGTACACCAGTGTTTCCCAAGCCAGTCCTTGGGGACCCACAGACGGTTCACGTTTTTGCTCCCTCCCAGCTCCCTGCCAGACAGTCCACATGGGAGTTGGGAGGGAGCAAAAACGTGGACTGTCTGCAGGTTCCTGAGGACCAGATTGGGAAACACTGCTCTACATATCGTGGCATACATGAAATTCTGGAATACCAGGCCTTGTTGTAAAAGAAACAGACTGACAGATTAATTTGTATGCTGTATGCTTGACATCAGTCAAGTCCTCCTCACAGTACTGTTATCAAGCAGCAGGCCTAATGCTGTATCCTTCCCTCAGATACTGTAGTTAATGTGTTAATAGCATTAATAGCATTCCAAGTCAAAGATATTAAATACGACAACGTTAAAAAAAGAATCAGCTGAGATTATTAGAGCCTGGCTCTTGCATAAATGATTGAACAGACACATCTGTTCAGGATGTTGTTAATTTCATTACATGTGTAGTTCCTAAAAATGACTTTTGGTTTATTATGATCAGGGATGGACATAACTGGTACGCAAGTACACGTCCACCTTTAAAAATGATATGTGCGACAATCGATTGTTTGTAAAAGTGCAAATGCGTATTTATTTTATATGCATTTGCGCTGCTACGACAAAAAATACCTTGCGTTTTAACCTATATACTGCAAATGAAGTAGAGTTAGCATATGAAGATTAAAATGCATTGTTTTGTTTTCATATCAGTGCAAATGCACATAAAATAAGTACGTATTTGCACTATTACCACAATTGATTGTCGAATGTATCGTTTTTAAAGGTGAATGCATACTTGAGTACCAGTTATGTCTATCCCTGATTATGATTGTACATTTAAAAAAAACAAGCAAAAAGAGATAATCTAAGAAAAAGGCCATAGAGAGGCTGCGTATGCAGCAAAGATCAATCCCCCAAGATTCCTGAAGGGAAGCTGTATCACGAGCCGAATTTGCAGAAGGCAGATTCAAGCTACTGGGTGTTTCGCGACATGCGTACTTGACTATGTTCTCAATTCTCATGTACCCATTTTACGTCATCTTCCATTGCCGATTCCAATACTCAAGTTTCAGTACTCAAGGACAGAAGTAAAAGGACGGTAAAGATCCCTGGATGCTGTTCTTGCCTCACCCCAAATATGAAAGATACATCGGTTGCATCCTCAGCAAACAAGACCAATCTCATTGCACCCAAAGTTCATTCTTGGGAGGCAAGTTGGCAAGACCGATCTTGCCAAGACCACAAGTACGATTTATGTGTTCTTGGTATTGAGAAACACACACGTTCTCTACTACAGGGCTTGGAAAAGCACTCCAACAAACCGCACTGCACACACAGCCAACACATGATTTAAATGAAACATACCGCATCATAAATTATGAAGCTCTCACGGAAAATGAAAGAATCCTTAGTGTCATTACTACCAATCAACTTCAAAGAAATATGTGCTTTAGATGAGATTAAATATTGAATTTTTATATGCAGTTTATAAATGCTCAAAAGAATTTAGAAAGATCACGCAGTGTTGATTAAGATTTTACGTAGAAACGCTGTTCATTTCTTATGGTGGCATCAACATTAATAATGGCTGTAGTTTAATCTCTGTAAGAGAGGAATTGAAATACTGTACATAAATCTAATCAAAAACTGCATGGAGAGCCTTCGAAGGTCTGACAGAAATCACTTGCAGAAGTGTGAGCAAATTAAGACAAGTACATGCATTTAATTGTGCTCTATAAAAAGTACGAATGAAAACCACTTGGAGCACTTGAAACGACTGATACCATCAATATGCAAAAGCAATCAGTCACAGACACTAAAAAATGCACTAAAAAGCATCACAGTAAACACTGTGCATCCTGAATATCTATAAATAATGTTTTCAGAGGCCTTGAAAGAAACGGTGATAAAGATCATGACAACGACAATATCACCATATCAGAACTTCACTGAGGAGAGACCGCCTGTTATCTCAGCCTAAAGTGTGTCAGTCCAAGGCCTGGCACACAAGCTCACAGGCTCGTACGCCGGGCCGCGACACACTGGGCAGCGACACGCTGGGCAGAGACACGCTGGCTAATAGCCTGAGCTACGCTCTTTGCTCTTGGCAGCGGGGCTGCTCTCTCTTTGCAGTCTGGAGTGTGCTCTTTTAATTTTCACAGCAGGCACCGATAACGGGTCCGCGAAGAGATCTAATCCAGAACCCGGCTCTACTGGACTTTCTGCAAAGACAAAAGGGAGTGGGGGGGGGGTAGGGTGGAGAATGTATTCAGACAAAAATACTGGTTGACCTTTGCACATACATCTTGAAATAAGTTGTCTTTGGCCAAGTTAATTGAATATGAATCTATGCCAGGCAGGTATGAACTCATGGGCAGACGCCCTATTAAGGAGGTCCTAGTTCCCAAACCTCTCATTGAGGCCTCAGCTATGTCATATATTTTTCCTTTCCCACCACCAGAACACCTGATTCAACTAATAAATGGTGTGAATCAGGTGAGCTTGCTCATGGAATAAAATGTGCGGAAAAGCCGAGAGTCCCCAAGGAGAGGTTTGGGAGCCCCTGAAATAGGTTACGTATTTTCATTACATACTCAACGGCAAAATAATGAGCATGCTGGGTGAGTTTCTGCGTCCAAATTAAGCTCCGGAGTTTTCACGCGGCGAGAAGCCGCATCGCTCTAATAAATGCGGCCTCCTGAGAAACAACCAGGTCTGTTGCATCACGTCTGCATCTCCGCTGCCGCGCTAAGGTCTCGTGAACCGTTAGCAGTTACAGGACTGGTATAGTTTGTCCCAGCCGGGCGAAATGGAAGTGTGTCAGACAGTGAATTCTTGCCAAAATTATAACTTTATAAATCACTGAATGGGGGTGGAGATGTGGCTTTGGTTTGTTGCGTAAATCATTTTTTCCCCCAAAGTAAAAAAAAAAAGCAAACAAAAGAAACATGTGCCTTGATATTTTTACAAACTGCCTGATCAGTGTGCATGTTTCTGCAGAACTTATTATGTTTAGCAACTTCAACTGATAGTTTCATGCCAAGCAACATAGTTATACTTGCTTATAAAGCCATAAAGCTGATCTGGCACCATGACTTACCAACTACACTACCAGCTGGCGTCTTCCTTTGACTCTGCATATCAATCAAACACTACACAATGTTCAGCCATTTGCCCTAAGTGACCAATCATTCACTGCAGAATTAGCCCCGCCTACTCCTCCTTACTGTGAATCAATCATTTGGTGCGGAATGAGCCCCGCCCACTTCCCCTTACCATGAATGCCAAGCATGTGCTCCAGAATGAGGACCCTCTCGGCCAGGATTTTCAAGGCTTCCCTCAGCTGCTGCACTCCTTCTCCCTGAGGGACACACCCAAATCCAGGGTAAACACACTAGCCACAGTGAAGCAGGCCGCATGCTTGAAGTTTGCAGATGAGATGTTTTATTCAGCGTTCCCTTGACTGCTCGCTTTCCCAGATCTCAAGCCCAATTTATCACATTCCATACTGGATTTTGGTTCTCTGTAAAACCCCTCACACTCGCAGTGAGCAAAATGTATAGATATATATGGCTGGAGCTGAACTCCCAATCACCATCAACGCTTATGTGCCTAATTCTGACTGCTAATTTAAGGATCCTACCATACTGGATGACTGGGCTGGACTGGGATTAAAAATCAGCATTGGGATTATGGGGGTTGGGCAAACATCTCACGCATTGTGACATCGTTCAATGTTCAGTCTATATACGCAAATTCCATAACTGTCTCTAAGTAGAAATCCGGATCAGTGATGTCACCATCTGTGTCAGGGACATTCCAGTTTTAGCTGCCTGCTCCCAGCATATAGGTGTCATACATGTCGGAAGAGGATTCTAAATGCGTGTCCTCTCCTTACCTCCTGCAAGCTCTCTCCTGGCTCACCCTTGGGTCCAGGTGCACCCTACGATGGCACATATGCAAAAAAACACTCAGGCACGGCAAACCCAGCAGACCATCACTATAAGAACATCAGATGTGTATCCCTAAGTGTCAAATATATATACACTCACCTAAAGGATTATTAGGAACACCATACTGATACGGTGTTTGACCCCCTTTCGCCTTCAGAACTGCCTTAATTCTACGTGGCATTGATTCAACAAGGTGCTGAAAGCATTCTTTAGAAATGT